TTTGCACTTGTTGGATCTCCGTTTATAAATTCTGTTTTTTATTAAAACTTAGATATATTGCGATTATTGTTCTTAGAGAACAAATTCTGATTATCTAAGCAAATTTAAATAAATGGCGCTAATTTTACCTTAATCAAGGATGTTTATTTGTAAAATAAGATTTTTTGCGCTGATTATACATGCTCCCACAAAAACAATATGTGAAAAATTAAAAATATCGCACTTGTTGGAACTCCGTTCATAATTTGTATTTTTTATTCAAAATTAGATATAGCGCGATTATTGTTCTTAATGCAAAAATTCTGATTATCTATGCAAGTTCAACTAAATAGCGCTAATTTTACCTTAATCAAGGATTTGTTTTCGTAAAATAGGACTTTTTTTGCGCTGATTATACATGCTCCCACAATAACAATATGTGAAAAATTAAACATATCGAACTTGTTGGAACTCCGTTCATAAGTCCCATTTTTTATCTAAAATTAGATAAACTGCGCAAATTGTACACGGTTGAAATGTTTTTTGTTTACGTAAATTAAGCTGTTTCTCGCTAAATGTACGTGCTTTGCGGTTAACAATTTGTAAGAAATAACACAAAACGTTTTAATTATGCTTAGGGCAAAAATTCCTATTATCTAGCAAATTTAGATATCGCGCTAATTATACTTTAATGAAGGATCTTTTCTTCGTAAAATAAGATTTTTTGCACTGATTATACATGCTCAGACAATAACAATATGTGAAAACTTAAACATATCGCACTTGTTGGAACTCCGTTCATAAGTCCCATTTTTTATCTAAAATTAGATAAACTGCGCAAATTGTACACGGTTGAAATGTTTTTTGTTTACGTAAATTAAGCTGTTTCTCGCTAAATGTACGTGCTTTGCGGTTAACAATTTGTAAGAAATAACACAAAACGTTTTAATTATGCTTAGGGCAAAAATTCCTATTATCTAGCAAATTTAGATATCGCGCTAATTATACTTTAATGAAGGATCTTTTCTTCGTAAAATAAGATTTTTTGTGCTGATTATACTTGCTCAAAAAAATAACAATATGTGAAAAAATAAAAACATCGCACTTGATAGAACTCCGTTCATAGGCTCTATTTTTTATTCAAAATTAGATACATCGCGCAGATCGTACACGGTTGAATTGTTTTCTTGATTACGTAAATTTAGCTGTTTCTCGCTAGTTTACTTGCTGTGGGGTTAACGATTAGTGAGAAATAATACAAATCGCCCTTATTGTCTATAGGGCAAAAATTCTAATTTTCTATGCAGATTTAAATATATGGCGCTAATTTTACCTTAATCAAGGATTTTTTTCGTAAAAGAAGATTTTTTGCGCTGATTATACATGCTCCCCTAATAACAATGTGTAAAAATTAAACATATCTCAGTTGTTGAAACTCCGTGCATAAGCTCTATTTTTTATTCAAAATTAGATACATCGCGCAGATCGTACACGGTTTAATTGTTTTCTTGATTACGTAAATTTAGCTGTTTCTCGCTAGTTTAATTGCTGTGGGGTTAACGATTAGTGAGAAATAACACAAATCGCCCTTATTGCGCTTACGACAAAAATTTTTATTGTCTATGCAAATTTAGATATGGCGCTAACTTCACCTTGATAAAGGATTTTCTTGTGTAAAATAAGATTTTTTGCGCCGATTATACATGCTCAGGCAATAACAATATGTGAAAAATTAAAAATGTTGCACTTGTTGGAACTCCATTCATAAGTTCTATTTTTTATTCAAAATTAGTTGTTGATGTCTTCCCTACTTCCCTTTCTCCAGACTTGTGTTGTACTAACCGCCGGGAGAAGCGTCTTATTTTAGCGGAGCTGACCATTCCCTTTGAGACCGTACATGGATTCGCCAATGCCGAGGCACGGAAACACACGCGTTACACCCCGCTGGTACAACAACTAACCGGCGCCGGCTGGCAGGCGGACTACTACCACCTCGCAATAGGTTCAAGGGGAATGGTCGCACGTGACGCCATGATCAGTATGGACAAAATAGCCAGCACCATCCGGCCGGTTACCGCCTTACCGCAGTCGAAGTCGCTGTTTAAAAACTTAATGACTATTGCTGTGTCTTGCTCATATGTTATCTTTTTAAATAAATCTAACAAGGACTGGACAGTACCAGGCCCAAGTAATTTGTTCAATGTTCATGCACGCTAGTCGTTCTTCCTCGCAGGTCGTCCTCAGCACGGTCTACAATGATGCTGTTTCAGATTAGTGTCCGATCTCATGTTTTCCGATTATTGTTGTTGTGGCAATCTGTTCCGTTACACTTTACCTTATTGCGATTGTAATAAAATAAGACAGTTGTAAGAAAGAACAGGCCAGATTTTCAGTTTAGTCTCTCCATGCTTTCCCTTGTACTCCATTTTGTTTTGAAAATTTTGTTGAAAATTTCACGAAATTAAAATTAAATTTAATGCTGCTGGAGGTTTTGGGTTTTAATGCCGGGAGACTAAGCGACAGTAAGGCGAAAAAAAAGCATATAAGAACGAAATAAATGAACATAAGTAATTATTATTGTCCTGTTCTTTCACGCAACTATAAGTATAATAGTGTTCTGGCAGTAATTCCAGGACCTGCGAGCCTGGGTAGGGACTGAATCGCAATAAAGGCTGTATTTTTTTTATTAGATATATCGCGATTATTGTTCTAAGGGCAAAATTTTTAATTATCTATGCAAATTTAAATAAACGGCGCTAATTTTACCTTAATCAAGGATTTTTTTTCGTAAATAAGATTTTTTGCGCTGATTATACATGCTCCCACAATAACAATATGTGAAAAATTAAAAATATCGCACTTGTTGGAACGCCGTTCATAAGTCGTATTTTTTATTCGAAATTAGATATATCGCGCAGATTGCACACGGTTGAAATGCTTTTGATTACGTAAATTTAGCTGTTTTTCAATACTTTTACTTGCTATGGGGTCAACATATAGTGAGAAAAAACACAAATCGCCTTTATTGTTCTTAGAGCATAAATTCTGATTATCTATGCAAATTTAATCATATGGCGCTAATGTTATTTTGATTAAGAATTTTTTTCGTAAAAGAAGATTCTTTGCGCTCATTGTACATGCTCCTAGAATAAAAATATGTGAAAATTAAACATATTGCACTTGTTAAAACTCCGCTCATAAGTTTTATTTTTTATTCAAAATCATATATATCGCGTAGATTGTACACGGTTGAAGTGTTTTCTTGATTACGTAAATTTAGCTGTCTTTTGCTAAGTTTACGGGCTGTGGGCTTACCGATTTGTGAGAAATAACACAAATCGCATTTGTTGTGCATAGGACAAAAATTCTTATTATCTATGCAAATTTAGATATCGCGCTAACATTACCTTAATGAAGGATTGTCTTTCATAAAATAAGATTTTTGCGCTGATTATACATGCTCAGACAATAACAATATGTGAAAACTTAAACATATCGCACTTGTTGGAACTCCGTTCAGAAGCCCTTTTTTTATTCAAAATTAGATATATCGCGCAAATTGTACTCGGTTGAAGTGTTTTCTTGATTACGTAAATTTAGCTGTCCCTTGCTAATTTTACGTGCTTTGGGCTTACCGATTTGGGAGAAATAACACAAATCGCTTTGTTGTGCATAGGGCAAAAATTCTTATTATCTATGCAAATTAAGATATCGCGCTAACTTTACCTTAATGAAGGATTTTTTTTCGTAAAATAAGATTTTTTGCACTGATTATATATGCTCAGACAATAACAATATGTGAAAAATTAAACATATCGAACTTGTTGGAACTCCGTTCATAAGCCCTTTTTTTATTCAAAATTAGATATATCGCGCAAATTGTATTCGGTTGAAGTGTTTTTTGTTTATGTAAATTAAGTTGTTTCTCGCTAAATGTACGTGCTGTGGGGTTAACAATTTGCAGGAAATAATACAAATCGCTCTTATTGTTCCTTTAGCAAAAATTCTGATTATTTATGCATATTTAAATATATGGCGCCAATTTTACCTTAATCAAGGATTTTTTTTCCGTAAAATAAGATTTTTTGCGCTGGTTATACATGCTCCCACAATAACAATATGTGATAAATTAAACACATCGCACTTGTTGGAATTCCGTTCATAAGTCCTATTTTTTATCCAAAATTAGATATATCATGCAAATTGTACACTGGTGAAGCCTTTTTCATTTATTTACGTGAATTAGATGTTTCGCGCTGATAGTACATACTCTGGCAATAATCGTTTATGAAAAATTTTTTTTAATTATCTAGGTTAATGCGTTTCTTTGTCCCCGCAAAATTAGCTGTGCCGCGTTAATTGTACATTTTTAAGTATTATAGACGTTTAAGCACTGCTCTTCGACGTCGTCGAAGAAAATTCATTCCATTCCACTTTGCGATGGTATTGGAGTTTGCCAGAGCATGTACTTAATTGTGTTTGCTGTCCGGTTGCCCAGTGTCCACATGTACAGTTGGAATTGGGATAGATTGGCTTAGCTGATTTTGCTTTCCTCCATGAAATGTATTTTAAAGCTTTTTTGCAGCATTTGTTGTGCTTCTTCGCTCCATCTCGCTTCCGTTATTTCTCCTTTGCTGCGGAATCTGCTTTTTCTTCTTTGGATACATCAGTTTCTGAATACCGTTTGATTTGACCCATTTATCAGCGCCGATTTTAATCATCGACCACTATTGGGAACTTTCCCTTCGAATCATACACAGCATACGTAAGTACGATTGGGTTCCCAGCTAAGATTTTACAATAAAACCCTACAAAAACTTTTCATTTTTTGTGTGCAGTTAAGGCATGATATTCTGCGGCGTTCTAGATTTTATATAAAACTAGTGCAGCGCTTGATTTTTGGCGTAGTTTCGTTTTGAATAAATTAGTTAAAAATATTGTTGTTAAGTTTTTGGTTATTTTGCGATTTGTGCTTTTTTTTTCCTGGCGCAGTTTATCATGTGTTGATTGTGTGTGCTGGTTGATGTTAAATTCAAGGTTTATAAAATTTTACTTATAATTTTCATAAGATGAGCTTGGAAGTTTTCTCCCGTTGACGAATGACGCCTCGGTGGTGGTGGTGTGCTCGGTGTGTTCACTGTCAAATACAAGTACTTCGCTTCTGTGTTTCATTTCTCAATTTTGTTTTAAATGTACGTATATTCTTCGCTTTTTTCTTGATTGCTTATGTCATCTTTATATTGTTCAATTAAAAAAGTTAATTTAAGATTTCCAGAATGTTTTCATTGATGTTTTTGAGGTTTCTTTCAGAGAAGCAGGGTTCGGTGCGCGCAACCCCCTCCGGGCGAAAACTGTTTGAAAATTGCAGCGCAAAAATTAGTCGAATATTTTGAAAATATTTCATTTTATGTTAAGTGAAATACAAATATCATTTTGCGTTAACATAATTTTTATATACAGAATATTAACATGGCGGCGCTGACATTTTCTGTTATTTTTTATTGATTTTCAACAATTGTATCACAATGAACGAATAAAACTGATGAAAAGGCCGCCATGTTTATATTCTGCACAAAAAATTATGTTAATGCAAACGTGCCATTAATGTAAGCGAGGCAATGATTTCCCGTACCAGTGTACCACAGCACAGATTAAGAGAATGGTGTGCGTGTGTATCTGTAGTCTGTGTACATGCAAAGTGTGTAAAGTTATTATTGAATAATCCGGACTGATTTGCAGTTACCGGCCGGTATCAAGAAACATTCCCGAAATGTCCTACCTGGAAAAATTCAACATAGGTTTGTACTATGTATTAAGCAAAAATGATACGTAATTAAGCAAAACTGTGAAAACACTCTTATATGATAATTATTAAAATGTCAATCCGTTCTGTCATGATCGTGTTGATTTCCATAATGTATATAAATATAATACATGTTACTGCGGTTTTGCGCAGATGCCGAACACCTCGAAGTCCGTTTTCCGGGAGTTTTAACCAACGCCATCCAACAAACCGGCATAACCAGTGTAGACGCGTTGACGGGTCTGGGGATACCCCATTTACAAGAACATTTAGTTCTTCCGGGACTTCGTTGCGCTATATACCGCACCGATACTGGAGCCAGTGTCGAAGTCCCATTTAGGGAAACCGGAAGAGACGCCATCAACCATGTGCTCCGGGAGAAGTAAGTAGCCGGCGGCAGTTTTGTCACGACCCATCAGGACCGGCAGGGGCGTCAGGGTTTTCTGGGTTTCGGATGCGAGCGGATGGGGAAAATACTGCGCCTGCCGGAGCCGTAGGGGCAGGGTCGATTGCACGCGAAGGGTCACTGCACTTTATTTGCGTACGCATAAAGCGTTTTCGTTGTAGTGGCGAGTGGAATCGCCCGGGAATCACTAGATCCGGTCTCCGTAACGATGGGCGCATAGTGCAAAGACAGTGGCAGTTATTGGCAGCCGCTTTAATGGCGGTGGGGCCGCACGCAGCCCACTTAATAGGGGCCGGTATCCAGGCCGCTGGCCAATCCCATGCGGTCCCGCTGATTGTTGTCGGTTTACAAGCAGCAGCACCAGCGGCGGTTCGACTGCTTGCCAATGGGATTCAGGAAGGATCGCAGTCACAAGCCCTTCAGCCACGTGCTGTGCTGCCCCGTTCCAGTTGCTTAGAGGGCGACTACCCGGTGTTCCGCTGCCACGGGCACAACTGCCCCGTCCCATCCTAGGCCCACAGCCCGGCGGTGTGTTCGCCCTCCGCGCTCCGCTTCCGGGGCCTCGCGTTGCATTCCCAGTCCTCGCCCAGAACGCGGAAGATGTCGGCGCGCCGGTTGTCGGTGTTCATCCTCAACCCGCCGGCGCTCCACCACCGCACGCCGCCGCCGGCGCTCCACCACCGCACGCCGCCGCCGGCGCTCCACCACCGCACGCCGCCGCCGGCGCTCCACCACCGCCGCATGCGCCGCCGGCGTCACCTGCGTGCCATGCGACATCCGCCGCCGCGCGCCGTAATGGGCATCCGCCACCGCCGTAGCCGTCCGCCACCGCGCGCATGCGCATGCGCCTCCGCCGCGCCATGGTATCACCTGCGCGCCCAGCCAGCCGCATCGCCGCCGCGTAAGCCGACATCACCCGCCGCGTAGCGTCCGCCGCCGCGCGTAGCCCGTGATCGCCGCTGCGTAAATGGACGTCTTCCGCCGCCGCGCGTAGATGTCGCCGCGCGTAGCCGCCGATATCATATGCGTGGCCAGCCGTCGCCGCGTATTGGGTATCCGCCGCCATGGCCATGGAATCGCCGCCGTAGTAATGGGCTATCCGCCGCCAGCGCGTGGCCGTGATCCGCCGCCGCGTAGCCGTGATCCGCCGCGTAGTGGACGATCACGCCGCAACGTGGGCGTCGCCGCCGCGCGTAGCCGTGGAATCGCCGCGTGGCCGTGAATCGCCATAATGGCGTAAATATGGGTTGGCATAACGCGTAGTAATGGGCATCCGCCGCCGCGCGTAAGCCATGCATCACTCATGGCGTGCCGTGGGTATCCGCCGCCGCGCCCAGCCGTGAATCGCCGCCGCGCGTGGCCGTGAATCACTTCATCAGCGTGGCAATGATCGCCGCCAGCATGGCAATGATCGCCGCGTAGTAGATCACTTATGCGCGTAAGCCGTGGTGCATATGCGTAGGCAATGGGCATCGCCGCCGCGTGCGTGGCATCATCGCCAGCGTAGCGTGAATCCGCCGCCGTGGCCGTGGGTATCGCCGCCGCGCGTAGTAGCCGATCGCCGCCGCGTGGCAATGGGTATCCGCCGCCGCGCGTAAATGGCATCGCCGCCGCGCGGGCATCGCCGCCGCGCGTGGCCAGATCGCCATAACGCGTAGCGTAAATGGTCATCCTGCGCGTAGCCGTGAATCGCCGCCGTAGTGGAATCGCCGCCGCGCGTAGTAATGGCATCCGCCGCCATGGCCAGCCGAACATCATATAGCGCGTATGGACGATCCGCCTGCGTAGATCGCCGCCGTAGTAAGTGCATCGCCATAACGCGTGGCCGACGATGGGCCTCATAAGCGCTGGCCGTCTATACTTTGGCCGTCATATGGCAGCGAATCGCCGCGTATGGACGTTATCGCCTGCGCGTCGCAAAGTGCATCGCCATAGCGTGGCCAGATATCATCGCGGCCGCCGTATGGGCTCGCCGCAGCGCGATCACCGCCGCGTAGCCGTAGATATCGCCATAAGCGTAGATCGCCGCCGCGTGGCTGGCCGAATCGCCGCGTAGTAGATCGCCGCCGCGTAGATCGCCGCGTGGCCGTAGATCACCGCCGCGTGCATCATATAGCGCGTGGCAGCCAGATCGCCGCCGCGCCGTAGATCATATGGCGTGGCCGTGGGCCTCATATAGCGCCGTAGATCGCCTGCGTAGTAAGCCGTCGCCGCCGCGTGGCCGTGAATCGCCGCGCGTAGCCGTGATCATATGCGCGTGCCGTCACTGCTCGCGCGTGGCCGTGATCGCCGCCATGGCCATGCCGTGATCGCCGCCGTAGATCCGCCGCCGCGCGTGCACATCGCCGCCAGCGTGGCCGTGAATCGCCGCCGCGCGAGCCTGGCTCACCATCGCGCATGGCGTTCTCATATCGCGTGATGTCACTTGCCGCGCCGTCGATATCATATGGCGCCGCCGGCATCCACCACCGCGCCGCCGCCGGCGCTCCACCACCGCACGCCGCCGCCGGCGCTCCACCACCGCACGCCGCCGCCGGCGCTCCACCACCGCACGCCGCCGCCGGCGCTCCACCACCGCACGCCGCCGCCGGCGCTCCACCACCGCACGCCGCCGCCGGCATCCCAGTTGGTGGCCAGCAGCCAGGTGTGTGCCTGTATGAATGTGGGATGTCGACTGGCTGTAATATCTGACAGTTTGCTGGGTTTGCAACAACCTCCGCAGTAAATTTGGGCCTACGAAATCGGAAGACCGTCGTCGACTATGCCGTTTAATGTTGGTCGCCGCCGGCGCTCCACCACCGCACGCCGCCGCCGGCGCTCCACCACCGCACGCCGCCGCCGGCGCTCCACCACCGCACGCCGCCGCCGGCATCCCAGTTGGTGGCCAGCAGCCAGGTGTGTGCCTGTATGAATGTGTGGGATGTCGACTGGCTGGCCAATATCTGACAGTTTGCTGGGTTTGCAACAACCTCCCGCAGTAAATTTGGGCCTACGAAATCGGAAGACCGTCGTCGACTATGCCGTTTAATGTTGGTTTAACTTTTTTTTCATCAGTTGCTAATGTTGTGCGCATGCAGTAACGCAGCCGTGTTGTTGTGGATGTATTCTCGGTGGTGGGGCGTTTAAGGAGCGATTGTCTTTCGATGCAGCCTGTGTTCCATAGAGGTTTAGTTAATTAACATTATTTATTTTAGTATTTAGTGCTACATTTTCTATACGATCGCTAAATGCGGAAGACAACTAACAGCATACGCCAGTTATTAAAAAATGATAATACATTATATGATTATGGTCGGATAAGAGCGGCAAGAATACTCCATTATAATATTATTATAAGGAAGAAATGGCTTGGACATGGAAAGCAAAGTGCTAGTCGGAGACGATCGGGCTCATGCATTCCCTATAGGAAACCTAGGCCCAATCCTTAATGGTGGGCGCCGGACATAAGGAAGGCGCTGGTATACAGCTCTATCGCCAGCGTGGAGCTCCGCGAATCGCTTTCGTCGCCCTCGGGGTCGACAGAAGCGGCCGCCGCGGCGAGCTTTGCGTCCAGACGCACTAGCACTGTCACGATGTTATTGCTCGTTTAGTGTTTGGCAGTGGGGCCGGGCAGAAGCCGCGTTGCCAGCCGGCATGAGCGTGTAAGCGAGTGATCCGACAGCGAGCTGAACCAGCCAAAGCGCTGTTGTCCTTCGACTGGTTCCGGTAATACTGCTTGAAGAATGCTTTCCGAGCCGCATACTGCAGTACATGAAGTAGCCAGTTCTAGATAGAGCTCGGCATTTTGTGATTTTGCGCCACGGAATTACCGGCCAGGATATTCTCGCACATTCCGCGCTGATCCATAATTCGATCTGATACTTATCCGCCATGATCAATACTAGTACCTTCTCGGTGTATCCACGGTAACCTTTGCAATATCACACGCGTATACACATGAACTAACAGAATTTCCACGCACTCGATCCGTAATCCCGATCCATATCCATATCCGTCAGATCACAGCCGGCGTTCCAGTTCTGCTTCTCGAAGGAACCGCCAGCAGAAAACGATGCGCCGCGAAGCCGTTACTGTCGTATGGCGCGCAGGGTGAAATCCGCTGCTTCCCGGTACGGCGGTGCTCCGACTGCCAGGAGCCAGCCATAGCGGCGCTGGCGCTGCCAGCCGGAAAGCCATGTGGCACAACGACGTAGCCGCCAGCTCGGGGAGGCGGGACTCGGTATAGCGACGTTGGCCGGGTCGTACATCGTGATGTCCATGATGACTGCAATCTGCAGTCATGTCACTGGAGAGGCCGCAAGTCGGCCTCTGCCCACCCTAAGATCCTGGCGGATGAAACGATTACTGGACCAGAAATTGTTTTGTCTATAAGACACACGGCTGCTTCCCATGCTGGTGTTGAACGATGGTCATGGATTCGCCAGTAGTTGAACTACGAGCACAATGAATAATTTCTTAATGGCGTATATATACTTCGTATGAATAATTACTTTTATGTGAGGTTTCTTCTACTAAACCTTACCGAACGTCGAATTCGGCATACATCTGAAAGGGGGCCACTGTAATTGGCTTCATCGACCAATCTGATTGTCAGCACGATCCACAGCGGGCTTTTCCACGGACTGTGCCTCTACAGTTCTACTGTACAGATATGGGCCGGCATGCAGGGTGCGATGCCAGTTTTGCCAGCCCTTTTCAGGGGCTCACATTACCCTAGTTCAGCCATGGTGATGCCGTCATCATACAAAGCACCGGCGGAGCCATAATTGTAACTGCGTTACGCGGCGAAATGGCCGATGCATATGGTCCATTCCATTTCCGCCTTTCCGGGTGAAGTGTGCTGCGGTGTCCGTGTGTTGCCTGGTTTCTTAACTGATGACAATCTGCCTCTCCGTAACTCCGTTGTCATTTTGATGAGGACCATGGATTATCGGCGCTGAACGCGATACACGACAAAACTGGCTACATGTACAGTACACTGCAGAAATTGCTACGTAACGTTTAGCGTCAACACTGAAATAAAGTTTATGCAGCGGATAATCAGAATGTAAAGTGCACGGCGCAAAACACCAGCTTTATGAAATTATCCTTCGCCTCCGCAAGCAGTTTTTTTGCATCCGTACGCGTTATTCCGTTCGACGATAATCGGTGCTATCACTGCTATGTACGTACAAAGAAATTATTTTCTCCAGATCATCTAGGCTGACGGTGACATCGATATGATGCTGATGTCGAACAATGAGATAGGGAAAAGAATTATCATGGGCATGGGGAATCTCCATTCTGGGTATAAGAAGAAAAATAGCAAGTACTCGTATCACGAAAAGACCAGACAAGTCGTTCAGACATACGAGTATACAGTATTTGTATATCAGTCCAGTGGTGGCAATACAGATAAGTGGGATTAGATTCCGTGACCATGGTATGTATACATTATATAATTACGATGTACGAGCACCTCAGAGAACAGAATGTAACTTAACAACTCTTCATAACTCTTTAATAGTCTCTTCCAGAACATCATCACAAGAAAACCTAAAAACACGAGAAAAGAATACATCTTTCTGTGTCATGTAGCCGGCATTTCTCTTTCCGCGAAGTTAGACAAAACAATCTGGCAATGGGGTTTGAAGGTGCGACGGTTTGGCAATGAAATAGGCATTGAAATAGGCTGAGTTCCTCGGTATTCGCGTATTCGCAGAAAGGGCACACTCGGTCGCCGTTCGGAATCGCATTCCCTTCCCATCGTCCTGCATGTTTTTACCCGGAAATGGTGATCCGATAACAGCAAAGTCAACAGCGCCTTCTGAATTTGATAATCTGCCGAATCATGTTCTACTGATTGTCATTGGTAAATTGATGATGAATTAAGTGGGATTACGGTTGTCTGTTTCAAGCGGCAAGAGAAGATGGTGTGACGCACCATGCGGAAGCTGCGCAACGATGCGCGCAGGATGACATAATGCTGATAGCTTGTAGCTGTCTATGTGCATCGTCAATATATATGGGATAGGCCGTCGTAATGACAGACGCGCAAGTTGTTAATGACGATTGATGTGTTATTGTGTTTCACGATAGGTGCTGCTTAGTGGTTTCTTAATGGGCTCTTCATGGGATGAGCGCATGCACTAACTGGATCAGCGTCTTGGTGTCTTTTAAGTATTTAAGGAAATTGGTTTGCATGCTCTGTGGAGTCATTCGGTTATCTGACTTGTAAGATCGGTCTCTCAGTATCCTTGGACTAACACTTCCGCAAATGTTCATTAAGATGCAACTGAACTTTCGTGTTGCTATATAACTCGCACTTACACTGCGCCACCTCCGCTACAGGTACATAATCAACCCACCCAATGCATTTTCAGCGCAGCAATAAATGCGTCCCGTGGAACTGAACAGCGAGTCAAACGCGGGCTAGAGATGTACTGCGGGTTATCCTTGCCAGTCCGAAGCACCTGGCCTGTTGGATAAGGACAGCAAGCGGCCGGTGGGTATGACCTTGCTTTCTGTGCGCGATGGTAAGGCGACCGTGTGGAATACGGCGTGTTGAGACACTGTGACCCTGTCCCACCTGAGCGCTAGCTGGAAGAATTAAAGCCGGAAAAGAAGCGCAAGTGACTGACGACGGTAAGCGCCGGAAACATGCTTTCGTCAAGGATCTGGGGACATTTTTCTACCATTTGGCAGCTAGTCGAGAAGTTTGGTACGCTTGGCCCGGACGGCTTTTGCTGACTGGATCCGTTCCTGTTATTTCCGCCGACCAGAAGGCCCGCCAAACGCGCGTGCGTAGTAGCAAGCGAACGTTTCAACGATGCCGGGATGGACGCCGTCCATGATGGTCGTCGATCGGTGATGGTCGAGAAGGAGAAGAGGACGTCGGAGGAAGCCGATGTCGACTGGTTTACGGAACACGTGGACAAGCTGTTGAAGCGCGTTGTCTCTGGCTCGACTAAGAAAAGCACACCTCCACGTCCGGCGCAGTAAATTAATTTCGCTTATGCTCTCCATCTACACTGTCCTTTAACTGGAATGTCTAGTTTTCAACGACAGACGCCGTGCATACAACCGCACTGATGGTGAGGTCCGACAGCAAGTGCTGCAGCGCGTTACCTAACGTCGACAACTCGCCGAGCTGCGCAGCGCTGCGCACTGTGAGCGTGGTTTATTGTTTACTGTTTATTATTTATTGTAAATGTAGGCAGGTGACCCATTAAATGCTAGGATCGAAATCTAGCGTGGGCATCTAAACCTGGCTAAAACAGTAACAAAAATCAGGTTCATGAAATTTCAGCAAAAGCCACTCGAAAAACAGTATGTAGACTGTAGAGAACGAAGGTCATCAGTTAAGCAATGCTAACAAGCCTCAATGCATTACAAAAAACAGCAAGAGAACTGGGGATGGCAGCATTGCTTATTGCGCACACCCCTCCGGGCCGCAGTCCGCACGCAGGCACCGCGGTGGTGTGTCAAACCCAACGTAACGGTGCGTGTGCCGCTAGTCGACCCACCGCGCCGCCTGCGTGCGGACTGCGGCCCGGAGGGGTGTGCGCAATAAGCAATGCTGCCCTGCCATCCCCAGTGTCCGCGTGATCACAGGGCAATCGGCCGCAACTACTTAGCGTGACCTTTCCTGGTAAGGTGCTGCTGCCTGTGGGTTACCTACTAGTGGTGGAGAGAAAAAGGAAATTGAGACAATTTGAAGATTACTGATTGGTGTCGAAGTTATGGAGACTGATTCGGAAGGATATTTGTTTACGTCCTGGTTGCTTTTTCTGGAAAAAGGGCTACAGATTGGCGATCCTCGTTACTGGTATCGGTTACTCTAACCACAAGTGGGTTACGACGTGCATTACAGTTTTTTTGTCCGCTAGTCGCGATAAATTTTTCATGGAAATCACCGCAAATCCTTATGCAAAGTCTAAAATACACAAATCTCGGCAAAACTATGTCGCTCATTGAAGACAAATTTCGGAGATCTCGCTGGACGCGTGTGCGCCATTGCCTCGTCGCTCGGATCGGAGCGGTCGATTGTCCTCTCCGTTTCAGGTACGAGGCAAGCGACAACTCTTTCCCATCGCTTCAGTAAATTTTATCACTTTCCCTGCTGCATCTTACCCGTGTGCAGGCGCTCTCGTGATACTGATATCGTATCCATTGTAATCAGCGCTTACTGAGCCGGCGATAAAATCTCGCCTGCCATGCTATGTACTTTAATATGTTCTTTATCAGTTTGCACAATCAACTATAGCTGCAAACCGACTGAAACGGCTGAAATCAAGCATCACGTGAGCGCCTGCACACGGGTAAGATGCAGCAGGGAAAGTGATAAAATCTACTAAAGCGATGGGAAAGAGTTGTCGCTTGCCTCGTACTTGTATACGAGTTTTTCAGGTCTCGTACCGAGTCGTACGCCTCCCGCTCAACGTGCGGCAATAACGCCCTTACCATATGCACTGCCACTGCCCAGTGGCCCACATGCTGATACCCACTTGTCGGGCCTTACCGACTGTGGCCAGACTCTGGCCACCAGAGTCATGAGCAGTCGTCCGCTGCTATAACAGTGGGCGGGCGCTGCTGTCGCTAACCTGCCGATACAGTGGGCGGTTGGCTGCTACGGTCACACTGGGCGGGTGCCGTAGAGACGGTATAGTCGTAGCAAGTCGCTGTGAACTGCCTTCCCTCTTGCTACCAGCTGGAAGAGCAGCGCTAGCTAGCTGACGACCAGTAGTTTATGCCAACAGACTAGCACTTGTGCATCCGGGGGAGAGTCGTGTAGCCACATGGTTTTAGATTTTAGGAAGCTCGATAAGCTTCCTCTGAGTACGGTATTGTTTATCATCATAGCGGTTAGTTTAGTTTCAATACGATTATGATACGTACAGCACTGACAAATGTAATAGTGCTTATATTTATATTTTGTAATAACATTTTTTCTTATTTTTTTGTTGTCGAAATCTCGGCCACATACAAATTGTTGGCTATTTATTATTAATACGGTAAAGGCAAAGCAAGTTAATAATGCACGTCTTTATAACACGATTGTTAACTTGCCGAGGACATACTATAAAGTATTATACATAGTATAGATTATATGGGTTTCCAGGGATGGCGCCTGCTGTGGTATCACTTGTTGTTTTTGTTCACAGGAAGCCTGAGGTTTTTCCTGTCTCTTGAGACTGCTTCGCCTTACGAGAGCCAGACTAAGGTTTTCAATTTTCCGACTGGGTGAGTGAAAGTGGTTCGCAGTTCGCACTGCAATAGCCGAAGAAACTAGGAAATTTGATTAAGGCTCAATGCTCTACACTTGCCTGTGGTCTCGCAATCACTATAGCGATGTCCTATGTGTAACAATAATTGCTGTTACCTTATTCTGATTTTCGAGTTTTATGATTGGCAGTCATTAGCTGTTAAACCTTAGTTACGGCTGCTAAAAAATTAAATAGAGGATCCGAGAACTGGTGCTGAATAGCGCTAGCGCGAAGTATCTTCCTAGTATTTTTCTTCAGAAAGCAAACTCTTTTTCTAAACACAAACGTAAAATAATAATAAAATTTTGGTCCAGTTTTGACTACTGATTCGTGCACATAATATGGGTCGCTCTAACTTCCACGCTCACTTTAATACAGTAATTCGGGAGCTGGGGGGAGGCTATAGTAATATATTATCCTCACTCCACTAGTGTCTGGCCTGCTTGTGCGTAATGGGCAACCCCTGCAGCTTTGGTGTTTCTCAAACGTGTGCAGTTTAATCCGTTTGAAGTTTGACTAGTACTGAATATGTATATTTGTATTTCGATAAACGCATTACTATTGGAAACCTTTTCTTGCTTATTATAAAATACATAGTTACATAATGTCATGATTATTAATATTGGAAAGTTCCTGATTTCAGTGTGGTAAAAACGCTGAAACAGACCCTCTAGCAGTCTAGCGTGTTTGAATTTTGAAATTCAAGGCCACTGCCTTAGCTATAGACCTCCTCAGATGATAGTTAACTTTATTTTTATTCAGCTCGTTTGAGGGAAGTGGCCCGGTACATGGTACCAAATTCGTGTACATGTACGAAAACTTTCACTTTCGCGCACTCCCAAACACCTTTTTGCTTTGTTTTATGACATTTTGCAGCCAGATGATTTGTAGACACTGGCGTTAAAGCCGTTTGTGCGCGCAACATCCGGTTGGAAGGTTATAGGCGAATCAAAATTCCAAAAAGTTTAAATGCATTCCGGTGCACCAAAAGTCTCGATATCAACCGATCTTCTCCAAATTTTGACGCACATATGCATGAAGATAATTTTTCACCGAACCACGGTTCTAGCATTTTTTTTCAAATTTCAAAATAAATTTTAACATTTCTGAAATTTATTTGAAAAAAATGATGAAACTTTGGTGCAAGTGTAAAAACGATCTTCGTACTTACATGCTTTTATGTTCAAAATTTAGAGAAGGCCGGAACATAATGAGACTTTTGGTACACCGGAATGTATTTTAACTTTTTGGAATTTTCTTGCCGCCTTAACTCCCGAACCGGATGTTGCGCGCACAAACGGTTTTCACGCTTATATGTACTAATCATCTGGCTACAGAATGTCGTAAAACAAAGGAAAGAAGTGTTTGCGAGTGCGCGAAAGTGTTCGTGCACGCACATGAATTTGGTACCATGTACCGGGCCACTTCCCTTAACAAATGATAACTACACGTATAACGCCGTGCGTTCACATACCCCCAGAGTACAGAGTACAGATCAAGTAATGTGCAGCATCTCCTCCCCACAAATCTCTAGTTTAACGCGTGTACTTGGTATAATATCTGTAGGAAATTTGATACGGATAAGAAAGGCACTTATACGCGCGGAGTTCTAACATCTAACTGGAAATGGATTCGGTTAGTAATAGTGAAATGCAAAAGCAACTTCTTTCGCTGCTTTTCAAATCGTAACGACTTTATTCAGCTTGTTTACAATTAGCTGCGCCTAGGTGTAGACTTCATCTAATAAAAAAATCCATTACAGCTTTAACATGTCCAAAACACCAAAACCAAAACACTCGGGAATTATGATTGCAAATGAATTAAGGTCGATGTTGCGTGCACGGGTGTCGGGAATCGGTTTTGGCCGTCTGCACGGCTAGATTCTTTCTTTTTAAATCGCTTGAAATTTTAAAAAAATTCAAAGCCGATTTTTGGGTGGGAATATAGGGGCCAAACGAAGCGCCTGATTGATCATCTATCTGTAAAGTACTCTGTAGAGTAGTGAAATTAGATTAGAACTAAAGGGGCGGATATAGTGATTGTGGTCAGGAAGCGATGTCAAAAACAGAGGAGCGTCGAATACGGGTGTCCATGCTGCCATTGCCATGGCACTGGCCCCCGCATTTGTTTATGGGTTTACCCGGGAGTGGTAACATGAACCGGAAGTGATGCGAGGTTATCTGAAGGCCGCATTCGATGCCATCAAGACACCGGCAAAGTTGACAAAAACTTGACCAAGAAGACAAATTTTCTTTACTTACTGAATACCTGGATTGTGGTGTACCACAAAATACTGTTTTGCCGAGTCAACTTGGCCCTTTTTCGTACAGTAAGTCGTATCCTATTAGCATATCGCTGCTCACTGAACGAAAAAGGTGCAAATCTATAAAAATAGATTGTGAATTATAATTTCGCAAGTAAAATTCAAAAATACTTAATTGTAAATGTGAAATTCGTGCATACAGCCAAAACCCGTGCGGATCGGACCAAGAAATGTCACCCGTGCTGCGTGCACGCAGCCATAATGATAAATCAACTACTAACGGACGGTTTGTTGTCCTTGCAACAGAGCGCCTGCCCAGGCAAGCTCTTCCCCTACGAGTCATACCGCAAGCCTATTAGCACTTGCGTTCTGTATCAAACCTAAGAAACTTTTTAATTCAAGCAACTGGTAAGGACTGTGTGTTACAGATCAGGATGGTCGCCCCGGCCAGTCTGCCTCCATTTCAACGCGTGTTGCGTGGTTCGGATGGGTTCAGCTATCAGAACACAGTGGCTGTGTGGACCACGGACGGTGCTTGGTGGTTGGGATACATACAGGATATCGCTGCGGACGGCCAACATGCTTACATTGATTTCGACTCGTCGAAAACGGCTGCGTCGTGGGTCCCGACCGGTGCCATTTGGTCCCTGGCCTTCCTTTTTGACGATAGGTCACTGGCAGAAGGAGGTTGGGAGAATATGGCAGTGCAGGTGGCACTGCGCGACGAAATGGATGGACCCTTCCGATTTCGGCCAGCAACATTGCTGAACCGTGCATGTAAGGAATCTGCAGATGAGATCAGGCACCAGCTTCGGCAACCTAGACCTCGTCCCGGTTTCAAAGCGAATCTCGCTATGGTACGGTTGCTCAAGCGCACGAGGTGGCTGTATGCAGTGGCCACACGCCCACACCTACAGATACGCTACGCGAAGCCACCTCACGAGGCGGAGTTGCTGTATCGTAACGAAATGCGCTTCGAATTCGGGACGAGGCCCTAGTGACGAGTAGTGACGTCAGCAAAATGCGTACTCCGCGCAACTGCATTGTACGTCATTGCGCCCGCCCAGGCCCAAAGTGATGCGCAGCTGAGCGGTCTCCCGCGTACCATTTGAAAACTGAAGCCATCCCTCGAAATTATGTGTGAAGTACCGCGTTACCGCGCTGAAAGTGTTTATTATGCAGTACTGTTTACTGTACAGATATGTGCTTGTGTACTCTCCTGTCGTCATTCAAAGCGGTTCATTCAACCTGATATTCATCGTCAAAATTCGCTTCGAAACAAGGGTTATGTACAGTACAGTACAGTACATCGCAGTACTTATGTAGATACCTATACCTAGCCCAATAATACTGCTGTTTAACTGGGCTGTGCCTATACTGTGTAGATAAGTAGTAGATACCACTACTTGTATACGTACTGTCGGCTTGAGCTTTGATAACGCAACTTCAAAGCCGCCATGGCCGGTGGACAATACTCGAACTGCCAAGGATTTTGATTTTAAGACTGGAATAGAAGCTGTATTATAGAAATTGACATTCGTGCTAGATTTGGCAGACTGATTTTGTCCGTTAAGTTTATTCTTTCTTCACTGGAGTGGCCCGAGTCCCAGGCTACAGAATAATGCTACTTATTCATCACATTCACGTACGTACAGTCATTTGGGGCGGCTATCTCTCTCGCGCGAGCTGGGATGGACAACTTTTTATTTAAATTATTTTGTATAACATTAGCCAGGAATTATTTGGTAACGTCAAGTTGTGCACGTGCCACAAGGGGAGAGAGAATTCCCAGTCAACAGAATTTAACGTCAACTCCCCGTGTTTCCAAGCGGGTTGACATAATTGGGATTATGTTGTATGACTTTACTGTGCGCAAGTACGTGTGTTCCCTGATGTACTAGCGATGACGTACTGTATACGTGTTCTTATCGGTAGCCCCCGATCGGAAGCTGCGCTTCGTCGTCGGCTAGCATTCGGCAGTCTGTGTGTGACTTGGTCTGAGTGAACATCAATAAGATTAAAGTGAGTAAGATCATTGTAGTCCTGTTGGTGTTTGTGTTGTGAGTGGCCTTCGTTTAGGGAAAGCAGTAGTGTGTACCTAGGCGGAAGTTACTGTGTTGGCATTCCTGTAGTGTGGTAGTGAGTGTGGTGAGAGTGTGTTTGAGGCATCTGTTGTCTACGGAAGTAGGCAACAGAGCAACACCAATCTCCAGAGCTCCTTCTCTGCTGACTGCGGTCAGGTTGGTAGTAGTACACGCGGTGCGTGTATTACGTCAGGGTGAACTCCCGTTGACGACGAAAAAGAAGTAGTGTATGCAGGTCGCAGGAGTACAATATACAGAGTATGAAGGCAGATAGCGCGCTGATCGGGCACTGATTTTGTAGTCTGTCAAATATATTACGTGAGCACGGCGGTGCGTGGAACGGACAGTCAGGCTGGCTCATTCGCTGCCGTGGAAGTTGTGGACCGCTGCCAAATCGCCGCACAGCTGCCAACCGGCGAACTGCCTGTCCAGCATCTGAGCAGTGCGGTGACCTACACAAAGCACGTGATCGCGTTTCCGGGAGCAGCCTCTCTATTGGTGGAGGCAGCCGATGTTTCTCGCATCATCACGCACTTTCGACGGGCCTACCAACAACTGGATATAGACCCTTCAGCGAATTTCTTCTTGGATTCGTGGACGGATGACGACTCGTTGACGGACGGTTGCCGATTTCATCTGCGAATCGCCAAGGAAACGTGCGACTTTGTTATCGTTACGGGAAATAAGGACGCGCGTACGCGTACGCAGCAGCAGATATCATCGACTCTGAATGGAGTTCTGCATAGGCATTTACACAGCAGAGCACAACTGCCGCCGCTCCGCTGCAGGAACGTCGTCCATATCAGCAACGGAGGCCCGCATTCTGACAATGCAGGTAAGTACGTGTGCGTGCCGTTATTTTGCTGGTAATCTTATTATCAAAGTTAGACTATAGTCCGTGCGCCAACACGAATTACCTACAAAGTTTACCCTTTACCTACTTACATCGAAGCTCGAAAAGCGCCTGATTGGCTGGGCTTGGATGTAAGTCCATTTTTGCTCGAAGTCTGTCGCGGGGCGGCGACAAAAACCGTTACACAGATGGGCGTACCTTGTAACGGGTCTAAGCGACGCCCTGTTACTTACAAACTTCGCTTTTCTGCGCTTTTGATTGGAGGGCGAGCATTTTGAGTTAGATCGAGGCTGCCCACCGCCAATAGCAAAATTCGAAACCACGTGATCGTTTCTCCACACTTTAACTTTGCGGAGTGCGGACTTAACAGTTAACACAGTAGAATTACTAATGGGTTTGTTTTTCCAAAGTTGGTTTTTTTAAATCTACAACGATCACTTATTTACTCAAATTTTTAATTTTTAAAAAAATAGTATTATTGGCGATGTTGTGATTCACCAGGCAGCGAAACCTGTGTTGTGGTTCAAGCTGCGATTTGAAAGTCCTAATATTATGTGGTTCCTGCTTTCTACGTCTATCGTTATTTGTAAGAAACTGAGAATGCCAGTATCTTTTGCTTTGTGACTGCTGACAAGCGCATTGCAAATGGACAGAGAAAAGCCCATTGATGTCTAAATCTGCATTTGGGCTTTCTTTGGTAGTTTGTAATGTTCTTGTTATGAAATTATCCATTGATACCGTCGCAGGGAACCCTGCTTGCTGGCTATCCAGCTGTCAGTATTTTTAACGGGGTCCGGCGCTTGTTTTCGTGTTTTCGTTGTCGTTTTTTACTGTGTTCTGCGCTTGTTTTCGTTGGCATAACCAATGTTACTGGACAGTTTTGCATGGTGAGAATAAAGACTGGCTTAATTCAAGACGTAAAAGTAAAGATACAGTGCTCATGGTTAAATCAAAATTGAATGTTTTTTATATACTTAATTACTGTGAAGTCAATTTGCTGCTGTAGCAGAGTAGCGCAAATTTGTTTGCCTTTTCCCGTTTTACTGAAGCGGATTCCCGCATTAGTCTGGCTATCCAGAATGCAAGTTCTTCATCTATTATTTTAATTTAAATATTATTGTTTTTACAGTTAATTTTGTATGGTAGCGAGCAGCTCGGCGAGCGCGCTGCGTTAAATACAGTGCTCTCACTATAGTGCGAGAACTTGTGCTGAAAGTACATAAACTATACATCCGGTTGTATGTATGTGAGTACGTTGCACATATGCGCACGCGGTCCGATTTAGCTAGGACAAACTTACACAGAAACCGTGAAAACGGGCGCGGTTTTGCATACTTTGTATGTAAATGCACGCTGAAATCTTTGTAAGTAAGTCCCTGATGCGCCTATGCGCAATTACTATACTAATTCATCAACACGACTTACAAGACCGACAGGCTCTGAAGAGACCACAGAACCCGATGGCTTGGTTTTGAGCAGAGAAAATATAAATATTCGTGTGCTTAACTAATCAGTACTTACTCGTATGTATTATCAATTCGAGACTGCTTTCGTCCATAAGGAAACTATTGCTGCTTTATAGCGATCAACATTAACTTGTACATGGCTCCTGATTCTGAAGATTCCGAAGCCGGTACATGTATACGTATTTGCCATCTTCCGCAGTTAATCTTGATGGAAATATTTGCCAATTTGGATCTGCAAGCTCAAATGCTGATCAAACGGTAAGTTGCACATTTACCGTGATGCGCCGAAAATATTCCTTCACGTGATGCTACCAACTACAGTCTACAGATACTGTACCAATGCCATCCTGTACCTATACACAGCAGCGGCTTTCACCTTCACTGTCGAGTGTCGGCCGTTTTTGTACGACTGTAAGCGCGGACAGAATTTAATCATGTGCTACAGCCTACCGCACTGCTACGTTAACAACCACCCACGATAGGCTGTTAAGTCCACCGCCCATGGTTCGCAGCCAGCTTGCCTTGAGCAGCTATCAGCCTGCACCTCGTGGCTCGTACGAAACCTGTCGATCCTATTTAAACGGAGGTATTCACGGAGGCGGTGGTGGCCTCTGAAGGCTTACCGCAGCAGCTCCGGGATTCAATTTCTGACTCGCGGGCCGCTAGCTTGTCGAGTCGACACCCAACACTGGTCACCGAAGTGTCCGTAACACACACAGAAAAGTGCAAAGAAAAAACATTTTGGCAAAAAAACACGAGTTAGCCTTGCGCATACTGTGCTTTGTGCGCACCCCTTAATTCCTCGTAGCATGCACATCTGACACGAGCGCGACAAAGGCAACGAGGCTTGTCGTGTGTCTTCATAACGCGGATTCCTTCATCTGATCCAGTTGAAGAAAACCAGTATTAACAGCCCGCATGCAGTACACACGTACAGTCCAGATACCGATACCTATACTGGCTATACAGCTATCCTGTATTCGTGAATGCAGGATGTAGAAAATTGTACGCATAGCGCGTTAGTATAGTTTGAGCCGTTATTCTTTGCGTAGGGTGTGTTCCTTGTGGCATGCGATATTAAGCTGCAATCCTGGGACGCACAAGGATCACATCACAATCAGCTTGGAAGGTTGCTCTTTCAATACATGCCAGAACGATCATTGCTACAAAGTGGCGTCCATGTTGAATCGTGCAGTCAGCTGCAGCAGCCGGAGTCTGACTATAAATGGCAGTGGCCGAGGGCAGCAGCACGCCTTTTTCCTGGAGCCCTGGTTGCAAGTGACCAACGCGCAGCCCTAGTCGTCCTCCAAGACGCCTATTATACATCGGGCGGTACAACGAAGGCGCACTGCTCAAGCACCCCACAGTGTGGATGGCGCGGCGGTTCAAAGGTCACTGTCACACGCTGATACTGCACAGCTGCCGGTTGTCCCGACTCCTCCATGCACCGTTGAGGGAGGTGCTGTATCATGACCCGCATGAGCTGGGTCTGTTGTCGCTAGCCCAGCCCGCCTTAAGCTTACTGATCCCCGAGGCTGACCTTAGCCACAAGTTCCAGACAGCGGCAGCGACGCTGCTGTCGACGATGGAGGCCACCGAGATCACGCTGCGCCGGATCGTTCTGCGCTTTAGCACTAACGTCAGCAGCCGCTTTAACGAGCCGGCTGATGGCAGCAGTTCGCGCCTGCTGTCAGCGAGAAAGTGCGGGCCATCCACGCCCACTGGCTGGGCAACCTGCAGTATCCCGCGGAGTGGCAGCGCATCCGCCATCTACTGTCCATGTAATGATATTCGCGGCTCCTGCATAACATGTACAATACATGTACAGATATTGTATCTGTGCGCTGCATTAGGCATATCTCGATAAAGAGTGATTCCTTATATTTGCAGGCGTTAAGCAATAAACTCAAACGTAATAATTATGATGACACTGGATGGGACAGAGTGACTCTGACGTGCTCTCCTATGCATTGCAGATTCAGCGGATTCCAGGTGGATGGGACGCCGTTAGCGTGGGACGAGGTCGACCTCCGTGAGATGGATACTGGCCGGCTCAGCACGATGGCCTTGGTGGCTATAAGTGAGGCGTTCCAAGCGTCAGCGTAGCCTAAAAGCGCCGCGCTGCGGCTGCGGCTGCGGCTGCGGCTGCGGCTGCGGCTGCGGCTGCGGCTGCGGCTGCGGCTGCGGCTGCGGCTGCGGCTGGGCAGACCTTTCGCGAACGGCGCGAACGCTTTCGTCTAAGTTAGCGTTAACGTTACTGGGCCAGACAACAGCTGCCCGCAGCACTGCCGCCCGCAATAATTATATAGACGAGCATGCTGCACATACAATTACCCGCATCGGTTCCATCACTCGGTAATTTCCCAATAATGAGCAGCTGCGTATAGCTGTCCCGCCTCCGATTATCCGGGAGCATCGGTGTACATGTGCGGGTTTTGTAGTATAGATAGATTTTGTAGTATTAAGAGCTGCGTGAATCTGATTGGATCCGGCTGTCGGCTGGTTGTCATACACGGTAATTTCCACAGTGAAATCTAAGGACAATGAAAGACTGGGAAGGGGATGAGCCCCACGGTGTGCTGCTGCTTAGGGTAGATGTTGTCCTGCCCCTACGGCCCACGGGATGGCGGTTATCCCTGCCGTTCATGCCTTGACCTACTCTGCTACTCAGTACTTGTACAGATTCAGCGACTTGTGCTCTCCTCTGGCAGTCTGGCTGGCCTGGCCTCTCCACGCCCATAAATAAAACAAACGGATACTGAAGTTGGATACACGAAATTCAATAATGGCGTGCAAATTAGTGTACAATCAAGTCAAAATTATAAAGTCAAGCTCAGCACACCCGTCGCCGTAACACACAGCCACCTGCATAATATTATACGAGTGAGTATCTTCCCGTTGGCGCGTAGATCTAGTATTATTAAGCAGCCACTCGTATCGGTCAACAGAACTTTACAGATGCCGAAAAAAAGCTCTTGCCCCCATTGTGCTGCAGCTTGCCGGGAATGGAATGATTATTCTATTGTCTTGTATGCCTGACATGTCTACGGTCCCTGTCTTGGCAATAATCAGCGCAAAACTCCTCTTAATTCCTCACTTGCAGGACGTACGGGGATTCCTTTCCGGGCACGGGCACAGGCAGTATACCGTCGCCGGAAAGGCCATTTGGCAGTCCACATGCACAGCGCTAGCACCAACTCTCTACAAATTAAATTCCGCCTCCATTATTTCCTACCATAAGCACTCCACTTCTCCTACCAACTACTACTGTTAATCAACCACAGCACAAACGGTTTTCACGCGAATGTATACGAATCATGTAGCTACAGAATGGTGGTATTCGAAATTGAATACGCTGAATATTTTCGCCGCGATTATCAGCGGACGTGATTGTTGATGCATAAAAATATGAACCAGTAAACAAAAACTGATCATGCATCACACATTCCTTCACACACTTCCAAACACAAAATCATACAAAAATGTGTTGGGTCAGTTGGGAGTGCGCGAAAGTGAAAGTTTTCGTGCATGTACACGAATTCGGTATCATCACCGGGTCATTGCCCTTAATTAAGGTGTTATTTTGTGTATCGGCTACCGGTAAGGCTATTGGCATAAGCCAATAGCCTTACCGTGAGAGCATATCAGAACTACACAAAGACATCGGAATCGCACAAAAATCGTTTAAACCTTAACCTGACAAAGGCTAAAACATTATACGAAACTGATTACGAGAAGTTATTTTTCAAAATTTAACAAAATCTTATAATAAATTTTATTTTTCACATCGTTGCGAACTTGCGAGTGCCGGTAAAACTGCCGGAATAAGTATCGCAAGTGTCAACACTACCACTATTAGTACCATAACGTGATACCACTAACATAACCATGGCAATATAATATATCAGTAGATTCATATATCCTTAGCTTACGTCCTTATTTTTTGGAAGTTATCTCCTAAATGAAAATTGAGTTTTTCAATAAGTTTATAATTTTATAAAATTTTATAAAATAGAGCATCGCGCAAACGTTCCTACCTTTATCTTTAAAAAAATATTAAGTTTTGGAGAAGGTCTAAAAAAATTTTTAAAAGCTGTAGTACTTAAAGGTTGTTAGTAGTTAAAGGTTGTTAGTTTTGGAAATTATCTTCTAATTCGAGATTCCATTTGTGAAGCTTTTGATTATTTTATAAAATCCAGCATCTTCCAAAGCTTCCTACCTGCAGCTTGGAAAAAAATTTTGGTTCCGGAACGTTTTCAAAAACCCTTTCAAACTTCAAAAACCCTTTCCGGAAACCCTTTCCGGAAACCCTTTCCGTTTTCAAAAACCCTTTCCGGAATTTTCCGGAACGTTTTCAAAAACCCTTTCAAACTTTCAGCGCTTAGCGTTTAAAGTTCACAGAAATTTCCAGTAAATTCTAGAAACGTCTCGAATGAGCAAATACAAGTTTCGCAACTTAGCAACCTAAACTATGGTTATTTAAAATTGTCAATCCCATCAAACTTATAATTTTTTGTTAATTCTTGAAACCTTTAAGATGTTTTTAAATCTGTTTGGATACCTCAAAATAACTGTAAATTTTTCGAAAGCCGGCTCCAAAGCTTTTACATTTCAAGGATTTCTAAATATTTCTAAATATTTCGACTCGGCCCCGCGCAGCGGGGCCGTTACCTCTAATTTTTTTAGCCTCCAAAGTTTCGAATTTTAAAAATATCTAGAGATCTGAGTACCTCAATATCTCACGCTCTAAATTGTCTAATTTATATGTAATTTCTAAATATCTAAAAGCCAGCCCGCAGCCCGTTTACCGTATTCACTCAAATAGCGGCTCTGTGAAACTGATGGTAGCTTGGGTATTCACTAACCTCAAAATCTAATAAATATGTATTTATTTTATTTTTATAAATACTGAAGAGCTTGACTGAATGGCTGAAAATTCTTACAATTAGTAGCTTAGATGCAGCCTGCCAGGTCACTTTGGGCAACCGTTAATTGTTTCTCACAAGTTTCCATTAATTCTCGCTAAATGTCGGCTGAATGGTTTTTGTGGGCATTGTGTAAATGATCCCACTCCATTCATTTAATCACGGTTTAAATATTATCGGTCGTACAAAAAAATTCAAGTTTTCAGTTCGTTAGATCGGCAATATAAAGCTACATTAAAAACGTGAAAAAGAACCGTGAAAATTGCAAACAAAAAGAAAAATTGCGGAGGCTTTCACAGTTTTTATAATACTGGTCGAATTTAACCGGAAAGCTTGAAAACTGTCCGCATTTCTACATGTTAAAATATTTTCGTAGCTGGCCTCGCTGGGGTTTATATTTGAAATATTTCACAAAATCGTTTTTATTGCTGTACGAAGTATATTTTGTATTTTTTCATTCTTCCATACCTCGAACACAACTGGTCGCGCGCTAGCGCGACCGATACTTGTATTATTATTATTATTACGGCACAAGAGCAGACAACCCCAAGAGGACTTCAAGTCCGGTCGAACAAAAACAATTTTAAATGCAGGTAAAGAACTAAGACAGATCCACAGATTTGAGTATAAATTTAAAGACAGGTACAGAACTGGCATCGAGAATTTTAGAATGAACAGCAACAATTTTATCAAAAAAACGCATTAAACGCATTTCCAAAGTCCACCCTCCGATTATTTTCTTTGCTCGTGCAACCTCGATCCGTGCCGGCTTCCGCAGATTATGACGCATCGTGTTATCTTTTACTTGGACCATATCCAGGGGACCATGAGGTATGCCGGAAGTTGGAATTTATCTTTGTTCCAGATCTTGAATAGCCACACCGCAATGCTCTGACGCCATCGGTCGAATATGTGAAGAATACCCAACTTCTGATACTGTTCCGGAGTTACCGGCATCTTGTAATCAGTGTTGGTTTTCAGAGCTTTACGTTGCAGTCCGGCTAGCTGTAGCGCTCAGTCGAAGACGTTGCAGACCATACCGGCAACTGGTGCGCGATATGGCAACCGAAGCAGGCGTGATAAAGAGCTTGGCGCTGTGACATGGTGAGCCCTTGTTGTGCTCGCTTAATCATGGCAATGCCAAAATTCCCTTTCCGTTGTACCTTTCTGAACTGCTCATTCCACTTCAGGTGATTATCGATTTCAACACCAGATTTCCCGATGCCAGTTGCCGACCCGTTAATGACAACTTCTGGGTCCGGTTCTGTTTTTCGGTCAGAACATTTATACATCGCTTGGCACTTCTTTCCGTTAACGTGTAGCAGATTCTCTTCCATAACCTGATCAACCGGAACTAATCCACTGTTCAGCTTCGCAGTAAGCGAAATGGCCCGGTACATGCTGTCAAAAATGGGATACATACACTAAAACTTTTGCTTTCGCGCATTCCGAATCACTTTTTTGTAACACTTTATGTCTTTCTAAAGCTGAATGATTTGTATACATTGTTCGGAAAACCATTTGCGCGCGCAACATCCGGTTGCCGAAATATGGTGTATTACAATGGGACAAGACAAGGCAACTTTATTCCCCCAGATTTCTTCTGGCAGGGGCACACCATGCGTTGTGCCGTATGATAATTGAGGATAAGTTAAATCAGTGTTGGTTTTCAAAAGCTAAGCGCTCAGTCGAAGACGTTGCAGACCATAATATTGATAAAGAGCTTGGCGCTTATGAAATCATGGCAATGCCAAAAGTGAACTGCTCATTCCACTTCAGGTGATTATCGATTTCAACACCAGAAAGTTGCCACCCGATGACAATCAGATAAATAACGTGTAGCAGGATCTAATCCACTGTTCAAGTAAGCGAAATGGGTACATGCTGTCAAAAAATACATACACTTTTTTTTTCGCGCATCTGAATCACTTTTGTAACACTTTATGTCTTTCTAAAGCTGAATGATTTGTATACATTGTTCGGAAAACCATTTGCGCGCGCAACATCCGGTTGGCCGAAATATGGTGTATTACAATGGGACAAGACAAGGCAACTTTATTCCCCCAGATTTCTTTCTGTGTCGTTGTGCCGTATGATAATTGGAGTAAACAAGAAAATAAATCAGCAAAAGAATTTTAGATAACACATACCGAGTATGCTATGATAGTGAATGGGCGATGGTCGTTTATGAAACAGAAATAACATTTTCACAAAAGAATTTTTCTCATACGATTAAGATGTCGAGTACCGTTTTCTTGCAGATAAAATCAGTGACGAAAGCGTTTCAGCCACGCCACGACTGCCACTGCACTACGCTCAAATATTTGCAATCACCGCCATACAAGGGTGGCTGTACCATCGTCGTGTAAGAAGTTTATTTAAACCAAAATAAATTTAGTTTGAAGACACCAGCTTCAAAGAACGAAAAAAAAATCCGTTGAATATAAACTTACCTGAATTGAATTAACAGCCGCAAATGCGGTGATGGTACAGCCACCCTTGTATGGCGGTGATTGCAAATATTTGAGCGTAGTGCAGTGGCAGTCGTGGCGTGGCTAAAACGCTTTCGTCACTGATTTCTTTACGAGACATTTGCAAGAAAACGGTTCAAGCTTTTTTAAAAATTTCAAGTACTCTGTAAAGGGTACATTCTGTTTAATCGTATGAGAAAAAAATCCAAACGAAAATCGGTTTGTGGAAAATGTTATTTCGGGTGTTTCACTTAAACGACCATCGCCCATTCACTCATCATAGTGTTTCACTTAAACGACCATACGGGTAGTAGCAAAAACAGCACTTAATATAAAATAAAATTAACAAGTGACACAATTATGTTATACATGGAAGTCAGATTTAGTACATTCGGTTGCATTTGCATGTACGTTAAGGAGGAGGTAACAGTAACATTTCACCGCTAACGTACTTTGCGACCATCTTTCAAGATTTGGTTTAGAAAATTGCTTAAACAAAAGAACAAAGATTTCTTGTTCTCATTTGGTGTAGCTTTGCTTTGTAACACCTTTTTCATTGTTTCAGTTATCCCGCCGTCGGGTATCGTGAGGTCCAGCGCAGCTAGACGCTCCTTCAGCTTCTCTCGGTGTGGGAAATATGCCGGGCAATCGTTCAAAGCATGCTGCTCGTCTTCCACGATCTTGCAGAAGGTACATAATCGCTCCTCTCGTGGCAGATCGTTCCATCTTCCTTTCTCCACAGCAAGGTAGTGGTTTGAGGTCAGCAATTTTATCGAGTTTCCGCTGATGGTTACGGACGAGTCTTTTAGGAGGTCGACTTCTCTGCTTTCGGGTAGGCACTGAAACATAAACATCAACCTGCTGCTCTTGGCAGCATTATCCTGTACTGACTGAAATAAGTTCGTCCGGAATTCTTTCTCGAGTCTGGTCATGATGTCTACGGAATTAAATTTCCTTAATTGATTTCGAATGTCTTCAAGAGAATTCTTTAAGTTAATTTTTAAGTCTTCCGGTAATTGTTTAAGGGCGTTTGTAAGCCAACAACGTGATCTGCTTCTACCAACCAAACTACTTTCTTCAAATGCCGCTCGTAGAAGAGTGCCCTCATTAGCGTGACTGATCTTCTCGAGACAACGCATCTGCTGCCTTATTTGTCTAAGACTCAACGGTAACAGATTTAGGACGTACAAAATCGCCTGGGTGTTCGTTGTGTTTCTGAGACCAAAAACCCTTTTGGCATAGGAGATTTGCCCTTTGTCAGTTTCATTGTTTTTCCCGCATAGTTCCGACCCGTATATCGCAATGCTTCCCACGACCGCTTCAAAAATTGTTTGCGCAGTTTTCCATGTTTATCCGCTTTTCAAACCTGACAATTTCTGTCTGGCCGTGTTGTATCCCGTTTTCACTCGTTCTGTTAAATGGTTAGCCGATTTCTTAAGGTCACA